CCTAGTCGGGTTAATCAGCGATTACTGGGGGTGATGTTCCCTCGTTAGTATGTGTGGGCTTTTGTTTTTGTGCGTGCGTGCGTGTTTGAAACCACAAAGTGAAATGGTTTCACTCCTAGTTCAAAGTGATACAAAACTCGTTTCTTTCTTTGAACACTTGAGCCCTCATGGGAGTTCTTTTTGCACCGAAGAATGACAGCTCGCTGAAAAACATCCCCAATTTTAATTATTTTTTCAACTTTACTTCTACTTTTCCATCAGATCAAACTGCTTCCCATCAGCAAAGCTCCTACTCTTCAAAGGTCAGCTCGGTGGCGGTCGCTGGAGGAAATGGAATTGGAAGTGGAACTGGAGGAGCTTCCGGTTCCCTGGTCCTCCTCGTCAGCCTCTCCAGCGCCTTCATGCTGCTAGCCCTGCTGGGCACCACCTTCTACTACTACCACCAGAAGAGGCGATCGTCCTGGACCGGAAGTGGACTTGGTGGTGGTGGTGGTGGTCTGGGAAACTGGTTCCGAGGCTTTGGCAGTGGCTCCAGCCACAAGGTCCTCCTCGTGAAGAAGAGCGAGCTGATCATCCCCGGCCACCTTGATAAGGGCTTCTTCATTAGCAGCTACAGCTCGGCGGCGGCTTCTGCTACTGCCGCTGCTGCTGCTGCTGCTGCTGCTGCTGCAAATGCTGGGGCTACAAATTCTGGTTCCGGAACTCCAACAGGAGTTCCCGGAAGTGCTAAACAGTCACAGACTCGAGCAGTTCGAAGTCCCAGCTCAGGACAGGTGAACCCGTTTCAGAAGAAGAGTCCCAGTCCGACGAGTGCTACCGCTTCCGTTTCCAGCTCTTCAGTGGGGCATGGTTTTGGTAATTTGAGGTTTTTTTTGTGATAATTTTTTGATGATTAATTTTATTTTCTGAACATTAGGAGCGCCAATTACCGAAGAGAACCATCATCAGAAGCAGTCAAAAGCGGCGGAAATTAACAACAACAACAACGAAGAGAAAATGCCCAGCAAAACAAAGGTAAAGCTGTTAAATTAAATTAATGACCACACTCGTTTTCCGGTACTAATTAATCATCACATCATAACTTCCAGGTCCTCAGCTCGCTGGAAAATCTGCACGATGAGTCAAACATTTCTGGTGCATCAAAGAAGAAGGAAGGCAGCCTCTCATCGTCGTCAAAGAAGAACTCACTTGATGGCGGAAACCTTGGTCAGCTGCACTTCAAGCTAAAGTACAGCTATGAGAAGCGATCTCTCAGCGTTGTAGTTGTCCGTTGTGAGGGACTGCAGTCCTCGAATAAAGCTGATGGCGGAAGTTCTGGTTCTGGACTGTTGGATCCGTATGTGAAGTTGCAGCTGCTGCCGGAGAAACAGCATAAGGTAATGTAAAAAAATATATGATTTGGAAAGTTTTTATTTATCAAAATCGTTTTAGGCCAAAACCCGCGTCCTCCGAAAGACCGTCTCGCCGGTGTACAATGAGGAGTTCACCTTCCTCGGCATCGCCGCCAGCAGCCTGGACAACCTGGTCGTCCACTTTGTGGTGCTGAACTTTGACCGCTTTGCGCGGGACGAGATTCTCGGTGAGGTAGTGTGCAAGGTGAATCAGCTGGAGTTTGACGCCCTGGAGAAGCAGATCAGCCTGACGCGAGAGATTGCTCCGAGGGGAAATAAGGTAAAATTTCCTAAATTTTTTAAAAATAAGTTTAAGGTTCTAATGATCAAATTTGTTGTTTTAGCTTAAGATCCAGGAACTGGGAGAACTGTTAGTCTCGCTGTGCTACCAACCAATTGCCAATCGTCTGACTGTGGTGGTGCTAAAGGCGCGAAATCTTCCGAAAATGGACCTGACTGGACTTTGTGGTAAGTGGTCTAGAATTAGGGTTTCTAGAATTTAAAATTTTTAATTTTTTGCAATTCCTTTCATTTAGACCCGTACGTAAAGTTGTACGTTTTCCACAACGGCGTCCGCCTCTTCAAGAAGCGGACGCACGTGAAGAAGCGCACCCTCAGCCCGGTCTTCAATGAAAGCTTCGTCTTTGACATACCCCCGGAGGAGGGCCTGGAAAATATCTCGTTACAGTTTCAGGTCTATGACCACGATCGGGTGACGCGGAATGAGCTGATTGGCAAGGTGGACATCAGCGGGCGGACGCCGGGCAGTCCGGCGACGGAGAAACACTGGCACGAGGTGATCCGCTCGCCGCGACGGCAGATCGCCGAGTGGCACAAGCTGAAGGAGTGCTAAAGATTTCAATGGCCAAACAGAGATACAAAAACTTTTCATCTGATAACACCCACTGACTGATTGGTTTCCAAATTACAAATTATCTATTTCACACACAAACAGTAAAACTCCTTTTGCTGCATTCCCCCCTCCTACTCTTCATTTTTTGTTTTTGTTTTCATTTTCTTTTTACCTTTTCCTCCTTTTTCCCATTACTAAAAGTCAAAGTCAACACACAAACACACATACATACGTATTGATAAAAAAATCAAAGAGGGGCGGCTGAACCGGCAGCAAACAAAATTGAAAAAGATTAACAGCGGCGATCTTCTCTTTTATTTTTATTTTTATCATTTTGCTGGCTACCAATTCTTGTTGATATTATTATTTTTATGAACAAAAACACACTACAATACAAATGATAAGCAGTTACTGAATAAAAGTTATACTGTAAACACTTGATAGTGATGTGTTTAAAGTTTGTGTTAAAAAAATTTATTAGAAGGTGTTTTTGAAATAGGGCAAATAAGCACGCGATGTAATGAACAAAAAGGGATTATATTTTGAAAAATTTGTAGAACTGTCCTCTACCCATCCCATTGTTGGCACATATTTTTCCACAATTTTTGAGTCTAGAGAAAATGTAATAAAACTGTTAGTCATTCAAGCATTTGTTTTTTAAAAATGTACTGAATGCAAACAAGATAAACGATACCAAACATTTATCTCATTAATTCAACCTTACCACCACTTTTCCACCTACCAACGACATACAATTCCCCATTGAATTCAATTGCTGCATGTCCAAATCTCACCTCCTTTATTGGTGCCTCCTCTCGCCAGGTGTCAGTCACTGGGTCGTAGGACTCACAACTGCTCAATGGATGACGGTCACCACCCAGACCTCCTATGGCCCAGAGACGACCGGCAAAGGGAGTCAGGGCAAAATGAGAACGATCAGTGGTCATCGGTGCCACCTCCCTCCAGGTGTCAGTTTGAGGGCAGTACTTAGAGACTGACTTTAAATATCTTCCTATATCATCCCATCCTCCAGCAACATAGATGCATCCATTGATGACTGCTGCTGAGGCATAATCACGGTCACAGTTCATGTCTGCCACTGTTGACCACTCATTCAGTTGACTGCAGTAGCGTTCACAACTACGGAGAGGGTCATTGTTATTGTCCACTCCACCAAAAACGTAGATGGTGTCATTGAAGACGACACTGCAAAACTCCTCTCTGCTTTGGTTCATGTCTGCCCTAGCTGTCCACTGAGACGAGGGATCACTCAAGTCAAGACTCCACATTTTATTGATGACATTGTAATTTCTTTCCATACCACCAAATGCGTACAGCATACTGCCAAGCAGTGCAAATTGAGAATCACATTGTTCATTTGGCAGTTGTAATAATACTGGTGATGAATTCCAACTTTTGTGCTGAAAATCGTAGAACTCAATTGAACCATGTTTTGAGTTAAAGCAAACAAGAAGTTTTTTTGCTATTTTGTTTGCAAATATTTTTAATTCATTTTGAAAATTAACTGGGAGCAGTCTGAATATATTACTATGATAAATGTTATTCTCAACAAACTGAGGTGATAAACGATCAAATTGAAAACAGTTTATAAAAAATTGTTTAAAATACGTCAATCTATTAGATGTATCAACTTCCATCCAATCGTGCATCACTTGCCAGACAGTGTGTGGATTTCCACTATTTAATTTGTCAGATAAAACGATTTTATAAATTATTTGAAAATCAAGATTATGAAATAAAATTTTGTAATCTGGCCAAAACTAAATTTACATTGTTAAAAATTATTTAAAAAATTATGTTGAAATAAAATTTAATGGTTTTCATTTACCTTTTCAAAGTTCTCAATAAAGTAATCTTCCATTTAATTTTAAAATAAAAACTTAAATAAATAAAAAACAATTTTAACTCAAGTTTTTTTATAACAGCAACAACACAAATGATGGAGCACAAAAAGCCATAAGCAACACCGGAAAAGGTTTTTGCAAATATCGTTGGCAGGGCAACCAAACAAGATTGTCACATACAATAAAAAAGGAGTGCCAGGCAAACACTCACACAAGTATTTTTTATATATTTTTATAAACAAAAAAATGCAAAAAATAGTAAAAGATAAAATCAGTAGTTATTGACTTTTGAATTTATGTTTCTAGATTTATAGAATTTATAGCGGTACCTATTGATGAAAATTTACACCTGGCTACAGCACTGTAGAAGAGGCGCCGGCTCTTCTGATGAACAGTAGGCAACAGCCACCACAACAATCGCATCCACATAGCAAACACTGTAAAACATATTTTTTAAAATTGCATTAAGAGGGGTCTCTGAAATAGGGCGAGCAAGCACGCGGTATAATAAACAAATGTGGATTTTCTATTTTAAAAATTGTAGAACTGTCCTTTACCCATCCAATTCTGGGCACATATTTCTCTACAACTTGTGAATCTAGGGAAAAACAAGTAATAAAGTAATATGCTATTCACGAGTGCCTTACCACTACTTCTTTCTCCACCGATAACAAACAGTTCCCCATTGAATTCCATTGCTGCATGATTATATCTGCCCTCCTTCAACTCTGCCTCCTCTCGCCAGGTGTCAGTCACTGGGTCGTAGGACTCACAACTGCTCAATGGATCATAGTCATTACCCGCACCCCCTATAGCCCAGAGACGACCGGCAAAGGGGGTCAGGGCAAAGGCACAGCGTTCAGTGGTCATCGGTGCCACCTCACTCCAGGTGTCAGTCTGAGGATCGTACTTTGCAACTGACTGCAACTTTTTTCTTTTTTCATTATATCCTCCAGCAATGTAGATGCATCCATTGATGGCTGCTGCTGAGGCATAGGCGCGGTAACTGTTCATCTCTGCCACTGTTGACCACTGGTTCAGCTGGCTGGAGTAGTGTTCACAACTGCTGATACGGCGATTTTGCACATGGCCACCGAAAACGTAGATGTCATCATTGAGGACCACACTGTAGGGGTCATTTCTGCCTTTGTTCATTGGTGCTCTGGCAGTCCACTCAGACGAGGAATCACCCAGAAAGCGACTCCACATCAAATAAACAGAATTAAAGTTTTTATCTTTGCCTCCAAATGCGTACAGCTCACTTCCATTAAGCAGTGCAAGTTGGAACATATGTTGCCCGTCTGGCAGTTGTAATGATAATGACGAGGTTTGCCAACTGTTGTTTCGAATGTCGTATATTTCAACTGAATAATCATATAAGTCAATGCAAAAAAGTAGTTCTTTGCAATTTATTGTTTTATTCATTTTCACACCTTTTTTAAATAAAAAAAAATCAAAAATACATGTGTCGACTTTTTTATAATCCGAAAGGTATAGTGACAGAAAATCTACAGTTATCAATGCAATAAACTATTGCTGCAAAACTGTTATCATTGTTGCCAAGAGCAACACCGCTCACAAATAAGAAATTCAAAAAATTGTTTTCAAATAATTTTTAAGATATTTTTGGCTAGCAACCCAACAAGAAAGATTGACTGCAATAAAAAAAACTTATGTGTAAAACACTTTAAGGGGGGACACCGCGCACTTTTTTACTGCTTTTTTGAATTTTGATTTCGGGGTGGCTATGATGTTCATGAAACATGTACTCAATACAAATTGCTAAGACTATCATGTAGAACAGTTTAGTGTTGATAGCTTGGCCCTACAATGACTGGGTCGCTGTTGGTAACGACACCAATTTTCTGACCAAAACGGTAACCAGATCGGTATCATAGGAAAATGGCATGGTTAAATTGAAGGTGCCAAATTAAAGATAACGATTAAAACTAAAGATTGGCAGGGCTATATTAATTTTAAGTGGTCCCGGTTTTCCGTTGCTAATTTTTAATTCAAGATTTCAGATAAAAAAAACACAAAAATGACGTTTTGTAATTTTCAAAAATTTTTTAAATAAGAAAAAAAGATAAATTTTAAAAATCTGGTCCTGCCAATCTCAAGATTAGGTTTTTAGCTTTAATTTGGCACCTTTGAACATTTTATGTGAGTTTCCGATCATGCCGATCTGGTTACTGTTAGGTTTAAAAATCATGGCAAAAAAGCTATTGGCATAAATGAAAAACTAAAAAATTTGAAAATATTTTATGTTGCGCGCAGTCCCCCCTTAAGGGGAGACAACGCGCATAAAGTAAATTTTTTCGAATTTTTTGGTTTTCTTTTCTAGTAAACAGCTTTTTTCAGCAAGATCTTGAATCACGCAGGTGCACTTTCCGCCAAAACGGGTAATTCCACAAAACTGAACAAGGTGTCAAATGAAAGATGACAAAATTATCTTGATTTTGTCTGGCTCGGATTTTTAAATTTCAGCTTTGTTGTATATTTAAAAAATATTTGAAATCTGCACATATTCTATGTTAAGTCAGTTTTCAAAGTTTTTCGTCTTTCACCACCATTCAAAAATCATTATCTGATACGTCAGACTACTTAAAATTATTCCGAGTCAGACAACTTTTAGTTAATTTTGTCACCTTTCATTTGACACCTTGTTCAGTTTTGTGGAATTACCCGTTTTGGCGGAAAATGCACCTGAGTGTTCAGAGCACTGATGTCGTTACCGACAGTGACCCACCCATCGGAGGACCATAGTATCAACACAAAACTGTTCTACATGAAATTTTTAACAACTTGTATTGAGTACATTTTTCATACAAATCTTAGTCCCGCCGCATTCGTAGTTTGAAAAAGTGCAAAAAAAGTGCGCGGTGTCCCCCCTTAAACAAATTCACAATTTATTTGAAAAATAAAAAATTGTTTCTTAAGTTACTTCAAGAAGTAACTGTAAAATAAGACCAGAAGGAATGAGGTATAACAAACAAATGAGGATTATCTATAAAAATTCCATAAAAATCTATAAAACTGTCTTCTACCCATCCAGTAGTTAACACATATTTTTCTACAACTTTTACATCTAAAGAAAAACAACAAAACAATTTGTTAATTAAACGTCTGTTCTACCAAAATTAGGTACTAATAAATGTAATCAAATAAACGCTGTCAAGCACTAATTTTATTTTACCTTGATTTCTGAATCCACCAACAACATACAATTCCCCATTGAGCTCAATTGCAGCATGTCCACATCTCCCCTCCTTCATCGGGGCCTCCTCTCGCCAGGTGTCAGTCACTGGGTCGTAGGACTCACAACTGCGAAATGTCTGATAATTAGCATTATCACTACCCCCTATGGCCCAAAGACGACCTTCAAAAGGAGTTAGAGCAAAACGCCATCGAGCAGTGGTCATCGGTGCCACCTCCCTCCAGGTGTCAGTATCAGGGCAGTACTTAGAAACTGACTTAACAGCTCTTTTTTTATTCCTTCCTCCAGCAACATAGATGCATCCATTGATGACTGCTGCTGAGGCACCACCACGGCCAATGTTCATGTTTGCCACTGTTGACCACTGGTTCAGTTGACTGGAATAGCGTTCACAACTGCAACGAGAGTTATTGTTTTTGCTTATCCCACCTAGAGCGTATATGGTGTCATTGAGGACGACACTGCGAAACTCCTTTCTGCTTTGTTTCATATTTGCCCTGGCCGTCCATTGAGACGAGGGATCACTCAGGTCACGACTCCACATCTTATTGGTGGCTTTATTGTAGCCATCTATACCACCAAATGCGTACAGCCTACTGCCAAGCAGTGCTAATTGAGAATAATATTGTAAAATTGGCAGGTAAAATGACACTGGTGATGAGTGCCAACTTTTGTGCTGAGAATCGTATAACGCAATTGAATCATTAACTGATTTAAAGCAAACAAGCAGTTTTTCTGTTATTTTGTTGGCAAACATTTTTAATTCATTTTGAAAATTAACTGGGAGCAATTTGAATATATTACTTTGATAAATGTTACTCTCAATAAACTGATGTGGTAAACGATCAAATTGAAAACAGTTTATAAAAAATTGTTTAAAATACGTCAATCTATTAGATGTATCAACTTCCATCCAATCGTGCATCACTTGCCAGACAGTGTGTGGATTTCCACTATTTAATTTGTCAGATAAAACGATTTTATAAATTATTTGAAAATCAAGATTATAAAATAAGATTTTGTGATCAAGCCAAAGCTAAAGTTACATTGTTAAAAATTATTTTAAAAAATATGTTTCAAAAAAATTTAATGGTTTTCTTTTACCTTTTCAAAATTCTCAATAAAGTAATCTTCCATTTAGTTTTAAAATAAATGTTTGAATAAATAAAAAACAATTTAAACTCAAATTTTGTTATAACAGCATCAACACAAATGATGAAGCACACAAAACCATAGGCAACAACAAAAAATTTTATTCAGATGTCGTTGGCAGGGCAACCAAACAAGGTTATCACATACAATAAAAATTTGCCACGCCAGCAAACACTCATACAAAATTTTTTATATTTTTATAATATAAAAGCAATGACATTTTAAAAGATAAAATAAAAAATTTATGGTTTTTATTTTGATTTTAAACTTTGAATTTTATTTGCCAGATTTATAGAATCTTTGGCGGTACCTATTGACAAAAAATCACACCTGGCTACATCACTGTGGCAGGGGCACCAGCTACTCTGACGAGCGGTGGGCAACAGGCACCACCGCAAACGCATCCACACAGCGAACACTGTAACCAATCGCCCTTTACGAATGACGCCAAATGCTCCAAAATAGAACTCCCATGCGAGCGCTAAAGGTTTTGGTGATGATTGCGATGATTGCGTCACGTGTGTAATGCAATGCTAACATCACCACCGAGAAGAGAAGAGAGTGATGATGTGTTCTTCTTGAGTTTCTTGAAAGCCAAAGACTTGAAGCAGTTTATCCTCTTCCTCCTCTTTTCTGAAGACTGAAACAAAGATGCTTTTCTGATTGCTGCCCTGACCGTAACCACCTGACAAGATTTGCACCGCTTTTCCCTGCTTTTCATAAACAGCTGATTTGATCTGACAGCAGCAGCAGTTGATCACACCGGTGACCGTCGTCATGGTAAGTGGGACGATTCTGAGGGAGGATTCTTGAACCTATTCTAAAGTTTCGCTATTTTTCAGGACACCAACGAGGACACCTGCGACGGCGAGCTCCTCTTCAGTAAACATCACCACCACCACAACAATAACAACAACAACAATCACAACCACAACCACAACCACCACAAAAACAACAACAACCGAAGCACAAAAGAATCCACCGCCGACAATTCCTCCTCCTCTTCAGATTCAGATTCCTCCCCAGATTCCTCTTCCTCAAATGATTCCATCGATTCCACCGAGCCAGCAAACCGCTCCCCGGTGAAACCACTAATCGAACCGCACGTCCAGCCGGTCCGTCTCCTCGACCCGCTCTTCTCACTTCTCCTCCTCCTCCTGCACCTCCTCTGGTGGACAGCCCTCACCGGTGGGCGGCTGCTCCGCTACGCCTACCACCTCGCCCTGAGCCGGTGGGAGGCGACCCGCTACGAGGCGAGCCTCCGCCGCCTGCCGAACATTCCCCGGAACGTCGCCCTGGGCATCAACACGCCCACGCTGGAGGTGGAGCGGCTGGTGCAGCTGATTGGCTGGTGTCGCCGCGTGCCCACCATTACCACCGTCACCGTCTACCATCCGTACTCTATGGAGGGTGAGGAGGAGGAAATAGGTGATCGAAGTTCATCACCTCCCTCATCCTCCTTTTCGAAACTCCGAGACCGCCTTCAGAAGCAGCTGGCTATTGCTACTACCATTTCGAACCACGATGACCCGCCGAAGAAGGACTTCAAGGTGGCCTTCCTGCCCTTCACCGCCGGCCGGCAGAGCCTGGTGGAGGCGGCCCGGTACCTGATCACCACCACTACCAAGGATGGTGATAAGGAGGGTGATGATCAGCAGACGATGATCACGCCCGAGGCCATCTCCCAATACCTCACCGCCCACCACTACCCTCACCCCGACCCGGAGCTGCTGCTTCTCTTTGGCGACTGCCGAATCTACCACGGCTTTCCCTGCTGGCAGATTCGCCTCACCGAGACGGTCTTCCTGCCACCTCTTCGCTGGCTCACCCTCAGTCAGTTCCACCAGGCGCTGAAGGTCTTCTCGAAGTGTGAGCAGCGATTTGGTTTTTAGCTTTAGGAACTTTCTAGGAACTTTTAGATTTTGCTCTTCTTTTGTGATATATTGAATTTTGGGTTGAACTTGAGTGCTGTTTTATCCCAGTGATGTACACCTACCCTCATTCTTTTTTTTTCGGTAAGTGAGTCGAATTTCCGCTGCTGTATACTGCTACAAACTGTTCATTTTGTACAAAATGTCTTTTTTTTTCTTCACCGTTTCTACCGTTACCACCTGCTCATAACACAAACACAAACTGAACCCTTTCATTCTCAATTTTGTTATAAATCGTCTCAAAGTACAAATGCACCGACTACTACTTTTTTGCTGTGTTAATCTTCCCCCACTGTTAAAGCTAACGCTGAAGATCCTCTATTTTCCTATTTTTACCCTTCCTCAAATACACACAGACAGTCTATTTACCTAACCCCTTTTCATTTTCACCTTCATTTTTTCCAATTTCGCCTACGCAAAGTTTATTTTTAATTAGATGCAGAATATTCTGCTGTTGCTGCTGCTGCAGCTGTGTGTAACTAACATTCGAGTTAGCTAGTTAGTTAGTTAGGGTGAAGTGCAGAAGTTTGCAACTTTGCAACTGCTATTTTCGGTGGGGTAATTTTGTTTTGTGTGCTCTCGCTCTCTCTTTTGGATCAATTCAATGGGAACCTGTCATCAGCAGCAGAAAAAGAGGCTTTTGTTGACCGTCTTCTTCGTCTTCACTCTTCTTAGAAGAAACTGTTTTTTATTAACCGCGTAGGCTGAGAGGGAGAGAAAGCTCTAAAAATAATTACCTCTATCTAGTGGTTTTGGGTCGATCAGTTCTGTACATTGAGAGGTTTTCAGTTGGATGGGTATATAGCAGCACCTTTAGTTCCATTTGGAACACTGTACACTTTCCGCTCTTTTCTTAAGAGCTCTGCTGCTGCTGACGTCAATCGAAAAAAGAGCGAGCAGAAAAATCGGATCGGCGCAGAATCCAACAAATGAAAGTGAGAAAGAAAGCCTGAATCCAACGCTACGATCCAACACTGCGATCCAATCAGCAGCAGCAGTGGTCCTCTTGGCTCGAGTTGTGCTGATCGAGCTGTCTCGATCTTTGTTTTTCTTTTAGTTATCAGATCATCATCATCTGAAGATCAAGATGACCACCACCAAACGTCCAACAAACAATCGTCTGCTGATCAGCCTCTGCAGTCTGCTGCTGCTGGCAAGCTCTGTTGTGGTCCATGGACGCTACTTTGGTGGTCCTGATGGTTCCCAGCAACTTCTTCAAGATCAAGACCTCTTTGACATCGATGGTAGTCTGCCAAACGGAAATGGAAATGTTCCTATCTCTGCACTGGAAGGCAGTCTCGACCAGCCGGCCATTGTTGATGAAGAGGTAAGTTTTTTTTGGAGGAAAGTTTGAGGATCTTGAAGATAAAAGTTTTGTTTTGTTTGTCAAAAGATGCCCGACGGACTGAGCTTCAGCGTCAAGAATGCGCTGCTCGTCTCCAGCCGAGCACAGGAAAACATCGAGTGGGCAAAGCTCAGTGCCGGAAGTTTGGCCAAGTACGGTCAGGTGGCAGGAGTGGCCGCCTCGGCTGACTGTCTCTTTGCCTTCCACCGAGGCGGTGTTCAGTGGAATGATAGGTACTGAGTAAAAAATGTGATTCCTAGACCTATTCAGAATTAAATGATTTTAAACCTTTTTTCTTCTTCGGTTATCAGCTCCTTCAACCCTGAAACCAATGTCTACAATTACCAGAACAAACCAATAGCAGCAAATACTGTAGTGGCACTGGATCCCGTTACTGGAGAGGAAATGTTCGCCTGGGGCAATAATAGGTAAAGATTCTTTAAAAGCTCTAAAATAAAAATTTTTTTGTTAACTAAATTTTTGAATTTCTCTATCTTAGCTTTTACATGCCCCACGGCATCAGCGTCGACCCTCAGGGCAACATTTGGCTGACTGACGTCGCCCTTCACCAGGCATTCCGCTTCAAGAAGAACAACTTTGATGTGGCTGATTTAGTGCTGGGAGAGCGTTTCGTGCCCGGTTCTGATGATAAGCATTTTTGCAAACCAACGGTAAGTTTAACAAATACTGAACAAATACTGTTTTGAGGAGGATAATGCTGAGGATTTGGTAGTAGAGATTGGGGTATTTGGTATTCAGTTATTTAAATGAAAACAGCAGAGCTGAGTACTTTGTTTATGGTAAGCAGCTTTTCGGTCGGTAACTTTGTGTCAGTCAATTCCCAGGTGCAAAGAATGGTAATGAAATGGCTCACTCACTCATTTGTTGCCACAAACTATGCTCGCTAATTAGTAGGCGGAACGGGAAAAGCTGTTGTTTTGCAGGCATTAATAATGCACAGTGCACATTGTACACATTGGACCTTCACTTCAAAGTTATTAGTTTGACCGATTTAATTAGAAACTCAGCTAACGATGATGAGGTGGAACTAGAGTTCAAACTAGTAGTAGATTACATTTTGGCAAAAAGTAAACAAAATTAAAAGTTTAGCTAAAGTATTCTCCTTTTTTGTGATAATTAGTTTGTCTGATGATGAAGATGATGATTTTCAGCTTCCGCTCGTTGAACTTTTAGCCGGATTTAAAAACTTTTTACGGGTTTTTGGATTTTGTTTGTCAAAGGTCATTAGAATCAAAGTACTTTACCCTTAACTTTTTAAATGTTTGATAAACTTTTTGAATGTTCAATTTCTAACTCCAAAATCTCATTTCATTTTCTACTCATAGGATGTCGCCATCTCCTCCACTGGAGTCGTCTACGTCAGCGACGGCNATAATTTTGTAGTTTCCGCTCGTTGAACTTTTAGTCGGGTTTTAAAACTTTTTGCGAGTTTTTGGCTTTTGTTCAAAAATGGTCATTAAAATCAAAGTACTTTACCCTTAACTTTTTTAAATGTTTGCAAAACTTTTTGTCTGTTCAGTTTTTAACTCTAAAAATCCTCCAATTTTGCCCATAGGATGTCGCCATCTCCTCCACTGGAGTCGTCTACGTCAGCGACGGCTACTGCAACTCTCGAGTTGCCATCTTCTCTGCCCGAGGCGCGTACCTCACTGAAATTGGACACAATGGTAAGTAAATGATAATAATTAAAAAACCTTATCATTGAAAGCTTATCATTTTACAGACAAGATGCTAATTCCGCACAGCATGTCACTGCTGGAGATTGAAGACCTCCTCTGCGTGGCTGATCGAGGTACTAAACTTCTTTTAAAAAAATTTAAATTTTGTACTAAAAATCCTTTTTTGTTCCAGAAAACGGCCGCATCCTCTGCTACAACGCCGGCCTGGCCAACTACCGAGACGTCGGAAAGTTGCTCTTCGAAGTGACGCCCTCGCAAAATCCCGCCCAGAAACTGTACGCCATTGGGCATATCGGTAAACTTATTAAAAAGAATCCAAAAAATCTAAAATTACAAAAATTTTAACCCGTTTTTCAATTTTAGGCGACGTCATCCTTGCCCTGAACGGCGGCGCCGACCAAACCAAAGGTTTGAGCGTCGATTTGGCCACCGAGCAAATTGTGGACACTTGGGCCCCGGCAAACGGGTCGGTTTTCCATCAAGCTCATGATTTGACTGTAGCCCACGATGGTCGTTCTTTTTATGTCTGTCAGTTTGACGCCGGTCAGAAAGTGGTCAAATTTGATATGATCGAGACGACGCCCATGTTCATGAACTGAACATCAAACTCCTAAAACACCCTCTTGAACTCCAGCAGCACAAGCACAGAACATTTAGCAAAGAAAAACCTCTCTTTCTTTTTCGCTCCCTTCTGATCAACAGAAAGATGCATTTTATTCCGTTATCTGTCTTTCTCACTCACACTGTTGCAAACTCTCCTCACACACTTTCCTTCCTTCCTTCCTTCCAGTACTTCATCACGTCAGATCCTCGTAAAGATGTTTTCTATTTTTCCTACACAAACACACACTCACTTACACAATGTGCGATGTTTTCCAGCGTTTGATCGGTTTTTCCTTCTCCTTTTCCTCTCCATCAGCAACAACACAGCACCACCTCCTCCTCCTACTCCTCAACTACAGCAGCAAATAAAAATTCTGTTTTGACCCTTGAGCATTTCCGATTTTTGATGATCAATATCGATTTTGGGGGAAAAATACACAAAGGACTTCCTCAGCACTATTGTCCCTTGTCATTGACCCTTTCAGCTCTCTTTTAGCTTCTAGAGCACACTTTTCTTTCTTTCTTTTCCCCTTTTCTTCCTTCAGTCGCCAAAAAAACGAAGTCAAAACGTGCGAAACAGGCACGTGCCACTATCAACTACAGCAGCAGCAGCAGATGACCAAAGACAAGCAAAAGGGGCACCCGGAGAAAGTCGTGTTCCGAGTTCAAGAAATGAAAGAGAAAGAAGGAGAATAGGAGAACTCTCTTACTGTAAGGTCAGTGAGCAGCAAGTCCGGCCAGACGTCGTCGGCTTCTGCTCCCCGCTGGCTATTTGCTTAGGAATAAGCAGCAGAAGAAGCAGAAGGCTTTTGAAAAGAAAGAAAGAGTGCGCACACTTACTGGACAGATGACTGACTGACTAGAAGAAAGAAAGGAGAAGGAGAAGGAACACTACGGTCAACGACAGCAGCAGCAGCAGAAACTTAGGCTAAGGAAAAGACATCTGCCGAACTAAAGTGCCGTGACTGCTGCTGCAGGCCACTGGCCTTCTTTAACTTCTTTAGCTTTCCATCCAGGCAAGACCATTTAGCAGTAGTGGCTAAAAGGTAAGGCCTCACTGAGTTGAGCTTGAGGCTCAGTCTCGAGACTGACTCGCGTCTGAGCTGACTGAGCTGGCACGAGACAAATTAAAAAGTCGTTTTCACTGCCACTGGGCACTGCTGTTTCAGGAGACAGAAGTCTTCAGCAGAACTTTGTCTTTGACTTTTACCCTCTCTCATTTTTGACAGTTGTAATTTCTTCTTCTCTTTTTTACTTCTGCTGAGATCAGCTATCAGTTGATCTCTTATTTTGCAGCAGTGACTGGTTTAAGTACCGTTTCGTCATTTCGTGATTAGGGCATATAGAAGGACAGAGTTGAGAGACAGAGTTGGCAATTAAAGTAAAGGTTATGCTTTGGTGAAAATAGAGAAGATAGAGATGACAAGATATCAAGATAAGCTTGTGCGATGACAGTGAGGTTTTACAACCATGAAGACTACTGCTGTCTACAGTTTTTTGAGGTGGTCGTCGCCAACTTTTCTCGACCACTACTGAAAATAATAAAACTGAACAGCCAAAAGCATTTTTTAATTGGCCATGCTCCACTGACAACTAAACAGTGTTTGACAGTGGTTTGAATCAGTAGCACACTTCTTCAGTTGATGGTTTTATTTGCCCAGGTAAATTGGTCAATAACTTTGACTCAGACAACAACTTTTTTCTTTCTCCCCTTGACCAATTGACCACTGGGTGGCCCTGTTCGAAACAGCGAAAACATTTTCAGTGCACTTGTAATGAAAGTTTCAATTTTCAATTTTGCTAATCAAAGTATCAATGTTTTAACAAGTTTGCCTGTAATTGCCCGACTGCCACGCGACAAGTGGCAAACATTTTGGCGCGCTTTTCACCACCACCTTGTCCCATCTCATTTCAGTCCTGGATCACCTTTTCCTCCTGCTGTCTCAAAAAACATCTGCCGTCGCAGGCAGCAATCAAATGCTACCTTGAGCACCTTGTGCCCCTCACTTTTCTCTCTCTCTCTCTCTCTCTCTCCCTCTCTCTGCCCTGACCTCGTGCCCGAGGGTGCCTAGGTACCTAAGAAAGGAACAGCTGCTGCTGCTCAGTGCTGAGTCAGAGCCTGTTTTCCTGATCCAAGACAGCAACTTTTGGCGCCAAAACTGTGCCCGTTCTCACACCTACAGTCTCACTGAACCTGTCCTGGAACAGGGGGGGGGGAGAGCGAAGGAAAATGGAACAGATGGATGGAGTACTTTGACAAAATGAAACAGTGGTGAAACCGTTTTCACTTGGTGTGTAACATGTGAACACAAGGAAAGAGAGTGCCAGCAGCAGCACTTGACAGTTCAGCTAATGAAAAACTACTGTTTAAGATGTTTTTCTGGTGTTGGTGATTGAACAAGAATTGTGTAAAACTAACTAGAATCAAATTAGCAGTTATAGATTACAAACAATTATTTTTTTAGTTTGTTGACCAGTGTCCAAATTGTAATTAGTGATGGCCATTTTCATCATAATTTTATTTTCACACACATCTGAACTACAAAAAAGTTTTAGTGGTCATCAAACGCTGCTGTTTGGTGCAATTACCAGTAAAAAACGATATAATAAAAACAGACGACACAAAACAATTTTTTATTTCTAAGCATCATCATCGTCAATGCACCACCATCAGCAAACACGTGAGAGAAAACTTTGGCGCCAAAACTTGGCCTCAACTTGATCCTGGATCAACTCGTGCACCATCAATAGAACAACAGATTGCATTTCTACCTGCTTCTCATATAAAAAAAGTGCCTGCCCACCAACTTTTTCTCATCGCACACATTTGCGATGGAGTGAATAAAGAGAGAGAGAGAGAGAGAGAGAGAGAGAGAGAGAGAGAGAGAGANGAGAGAGAGAGAGAGAGAGAGAGAGAGCACAGCACAGCACAGTAAAGTAGTGCACAGGTCTTCAATGACTCAAAATCGGTGCGCAAATATCCGGTCCCCCATTGTCCTTCACACTAGGTCCCCATCCCTGACATCCAAAGGCCTTTGAGAGCACTTTTTTCTCACGCAACTATTACTTCCTTGCAGACTGACACAGTCTGACTCTGCTGATCACCGTTTGATTGTCACTGCCGACTTAACTTTGTGCTTCATTTTGCCTGCCTGCCTGCCTGTGACAGACCGTTCTCTCCGTCCCGGGCCAAGGTAGAAGCAAAAAATTGAAGCAAGTGACACAAAGAAGGTGGCAAAGCGGTGGCAAGAGCGGTACTAATGGTCTGAGAGACCGTAGAGCACACACACAGCAAACGAGCCCCAGACGACTTCTTTCCCTCTTTTTCCCTCTTTTTCTTTCCAGTCAATCGTATCGATTGACCTCGTCGCAGAAGACAAACTCAAACTCGCCGGTCCAAGGTAAGACGGGGCACTGCTTTTCGCGCCAAAACTGACCGACAGGTGAGACAGAAGAGGACGAGCAGACGGACCCAGCGTGGGCCACGCGTGGTCAATTTTGAGCAGCAGACTACTGTTTAAAGAAAGAGTCAAATAAGGACAGTGTAATAAAGGCAGAGTTTTCTTGCGGACACCTGAAAACAAGATAAAGAGGAGAAGGAGAACTGAGGAGCAGACGGTGGGCAGTTGTGCAGCCAAATAGTCAAATTAGTCTGCTCAAACAATGGTCTTTAGGGGAAAAAGAAGAAGAAGAAGGGTCAGACAAAGGCAAAAAAAGAGGGTCAATTATTGTTTGAATAAGTGGCTAAAGTCAGCTTTCTTCTCGATTGACTTGTGAGCATTGGTAGCCGACAAATTACCGCATAGGAACAAAAAAACAAAAACTGATCAATTTGGCTGATTATTCTTCAGTGTGAGGTTGCACCTGCCAACTTTTGAGATTCTGTGAGGTCTTTGAATTCAGGGCTAATTCTGTTGAATGAGAACTTCAACATAAAATATTTTATATTTTTTTCCACTTTTGTTTTAGCTGTTGCATAACATTTAGTGTTTTTTTATTAATCTTTCTCATTGCATGTCACCTTTCTTTTGCACACCAACTTCAAACACCACTTTTCCACCTGAGAGCACACACAGTGTCCATTGCAGCAGTGTGTGACAGAATAAAGGGTGACAGAATGATCATCATCATTCTACCATTTAAAAGTCTAGCAAAAAGCAAAAAGGAAAGAGACTGTGACTGTTTTTAAATCATTAGTGCATTTGCATTTTTATATCAAGATGCCATCACCATCACTGCCACTGATGATGATGATCATCATCATCATTATAAATTATAGTATCACTCCACTTTTAATGAGGCAAACAAAAGAGTCTGCAGTCAGTAAATGAGTTTTTTACCTTTTGATTCACAGCATTTAATGAGCAAGTTAAAGTGAAATGAAATGCGTGAATGAATGGATGCAATTAAATGGCAGTGAGCACATCTGAGCACACAAGTGCTAAAAATGGTGTCGCATTCTTTTGGTAATCACTTCTGATCAAAACTCAAAGTTTTTGTAAAAACAAAAAGTCTGAATTGTGTGTTTAAAAAATCTAAATCAGTTTTTACAGTGAAAAACCCAACTTTTTAGCAGTAACCGCAACACTTCACTAGCACTTCACTTTCACTCGGTCCCATCTGTGCTTTCTCCCTCTGTTCTGTTCTCATCGGCCAGCTAATGAGACAGGCGATTAATTAGCAAAGAAAAAGTAAAGAATTAAAAGTGGCAAGAGAATGAAAAAGAGAGGCTAGTAACAAATTGAAGTGTTCAGTTCTGCTTCACTTGAGAAAGTATAATCAAGCAAGCCTGAAAGAGGCTAAAAGAGGCTAAAAGAGGCGACTTTGTGGCTGCAAATTGCGCTTGGGTGCTCTGTGTGTTTGGGTGAGGTCGACAGCAATTACCCTCTTCTTTTTTTTCTTAGTAAAACAGTAGAGGCTATTTGCTTATTTGTTTAGTCAGTGATGATCTTCATTGGAAGGCAAAAGAAGAAAAAGACTGTATGACCCTTTCTAG